TGAAAATGGTACTTTGTCTGGAACTGAGCTTGCAATCAAATGCGGCAAATGTGTTAATACTGTAAAATTACCTGTTTCATTGTAACTCGTAAATAAAATAATAAATGTAACTTATAAAGCCATGTATTAATTATCAAATTATATTAATATTGATTAGTATACAGTTGATAGAAAAATATGAATAGTTATAAAATGAGTAGAATGATAGAAAATGTAAACGGGACGAAACGAGTGTGGGACGAAACGAGAGGGGACGAAACAAGTGTGGGACGAAACGAGAGCTAATTAACAAATACGGGGCGAAACGAGAGTAATCCATACATTAAGAGTATTCTCTCATTTACTTTGAATCCATTGATGAAATTCTGGTGTACAAATATTGGCACTCGTTTCAAATGGATGCAAACGTCGTGGTTGTGTGAAATTGATCGTCGATGATTGATATTGAACATTTAACCAGTGTGAAATTGATTTTTGTTCTGCAGAAAATTCATTGGTAGAATCACTTGGTATTAATCTTGTCATTACTGAGCATGACAAATATGGCACTTGTGACTGTTTTGGATTTTGAATAAAGTAGTCAACATAGCGTTTAGCACATGACGGTGAAAGAGGCCATTTTGGCCAAATCACATTGGTTTTATTAGGCTGATCTGTGGTTTGAAATGTGAATCGATATGATTTAGTTTCGGAAAACAATCGTGGAATGTGAATAAATATTTTATTTTGATTTGGTTGATTTAAGGGAATCTTTGTTATTGAATAGAAAGGTGACGATAAGGGAGGTACAGATGTAAATGATTTAATTAAAACTGAAAAGTGTAATGAAATATTTAATAGAAGAGATATTTGGAAAAATGGTTGTTGTGAAGTTGTTTTAATGTCATTCGATAATTCATAACAATTGAGTGTAAGATTAATTATTTCAGATGATGGTTCTAAACAAGAAAAGAGTTTATCTGATTATGAACATATGGCTTTGGAAAGACGAATAAACAACTAAAGTTAACTTTCTTATCACTAAAACGACGTGAATTGTTAAAAACATTTGCTGCAGATCCTGCAACATGTTCACTGTGAAACTCGTAAAATAAGACGTGATTTTGTTACATTCATACGGAAGGTGCTGGTGACTCTCGAATATTTTACAATGATCACTACTTTTTCGCGATTGTCACCTACTGCTAATAAATGATCAGTCGCGTTTTTCTTACCACGGTGGAATCCAATCGCGAACTTGCTCCGCGCCAATGCAGGATTTATGACATGATCAGTTATCGTTGCACCGACTCTTATATATCTTTTTTCTCGTAATTACAAATTGTCACATCGCGATCGCGAAATAGAAATTATTTTGAAAAACATCAGTTCATCGGAATCGCTCCGCGATAATTGAGATTTATTAATGGTGGTCTGCGATTTTCGCGAATGCAATACAACAACCATACTCGCGCCATGAATGAACCAAGAAAGTTGACTTCTAAATAACTTACTTGGGTTTGTGTGGTTCTCTCTTTGTAAATATTTGGCAAATTGTTTTAATCGTACTCTAAGCACAACATGTTGATCACGTATCTCTGGTACAAATAGAGCTCGAGTATACTGTTCCAATTGTTCCTGATAAACTTTTAGTAATTTTTTTGATGCATGATGTATATTCATTTGACTATGATTATTCTTCATCGATGTATCGCCTAAACCTGTAATTGACTTCCTATCCAAATATATATCGGTCATATTATCGTCTAAATAATCGTCATTTTCCACATTGGATTCTGCATCGAAATTTATCTTTTTACCAAATAAATATGGTCCACTCGAATATAAGTATGTAAAAGTCAAGGTGGAAATGAAGAAACAACTAAATATCATTAAATGAAGTTTCCCCGGTGAGACTAACAAAAACGATGATAATTTGCTAATAATGGCCATCAAACACGGTGTTCGTAGTATATGCTAAAACAAAAAGTGATACATTGAACTTATCACAAAAAAAGGGATATCCTGTCTTCATAAATCCCCAGTTTCATAAATCACACATTTATGAAACTTATAAAAAGTTTCATATAATTTTAGGAAACCTGGATGTTGATTTTTTTAATCCACAAGTTACATAAAAATGAAAAATTTTATGAAACTTGTAAAAAGTTTCATAAAAAGTTTAGCATGGCCCTCAGAGAAAAATTTTCTTAATTAATTAGCACATGTCTCCGAGAGACCCATGATTGTTAATTAAATGGGTTTAATTGATGAATTACGGTAACTGCAGATGTCTCTAAGAGAGTTGTTACAGTAGTATATTAGTATAAGTCTCATGGTGACATATGTTGAACAGTAGACGGAAAAAAAGAATAAAGACTACACAACACACTGTATCTCTCTCTGTTGATGATTCATAATCAGCTGGTGCCAAAATAGAACTGCAAATTATTCTATATGTCTCTCAGTAAGTTATTCAAAGAATTTTAAAATGAAAATAGAAGTCAATATCTGTCACTGAGCTTCTTAATATCAACAGAATATGTCTCTGAGCAACGTATAGGTCTCTCAGAGGGTGATTTTTAGTCCTTTTAAAAAATAACAGAGTTTTTATTCAATTGATTTAGTTAGAACATGTCACTGAGCGATTCATAACTCACCAAGTTACACATATCTCACCCGTTCAGATATACGGATATATCTGATACAAACTCACTATGCTTCTTAATAGACAAATTCCCAAATTTCGGAAAGTAGGCACACAGTGACAGTCATACTTTACTAATAACCATACTAACGTTTATTACTATTCAACAAAAAATATTTTTTACATTTACAAAACATGTTTTTCTAATACACGCTTGAATTTACCTTCTACACTTTCACACTAAAGACACAACTTTTTATTCGTTTAAAAGAGTCTGAACATGTCTCTAAGAGACGCTACCGGTTCTTGTATGAGTAAGCATATGTCTCTGAGAGACTCACATCCCACTTAGAGGCGTGATGCATATACAGTTTTAGAATAAAATTCCACATTTTTATTTGAATCAGTCTATATCTCAAAGTAACTCATGCCTATCTTGGTGAGATATTAGCACCTCTATTAGGTTGAGTCACTGTGTCTCTACGAGTCTCATATAGCACCTAGAGACACATTGATACTGTTTTTAATTAAATAAATCATTATTTTCAATTAAAACATCACAAACACACGTCTCTATGTGACATATACCAATTATATAATGTTATATGTCTCTAGGTAACATATTAATACTACAATTAATTAAGAAACTACTTAATTAAACCTGCAACAGCATAAATCACACATTTATGAAACTTTTTACAAGTTTCATAACTTTTTGCTTTATAAAACTGGATTTATGAAGACAGGATAATCCCAAACAAAGAACAAAAAACATTAGTGAGGATAAAATTACCACTCTAATCTTATCCAAATTCATAGCAACTTCCATCATCTTCGATAGTAAATTTTCTTTTCACAAGTCAAGTTTAGATTTTATATGAGAAGAACAAAATGAGTGACTAGCCTAAGAATCAAACCAAGAGCTTGAATAAACGGTGGTGTATTTCAGTTTTCGTAAAGAGTAACTTATCTTTATTATGATTAGTGTAGGTGGGTGAGTTTTTAAATCATTGGATCCCTCAATAACCTCAAAAATACGCTGAAATCAATCTCCAACTTTTATGAAAAAAATTGCTGAGATCCTCTTGACTCAGCTGACAGGAGTCAAAAATGAAATTACATAATGGCTCATGCATGAGCCATTATGTAATTTCATTTTTGACTCCTGTCAGCTGACCCAAGAGGATCTCAGCAATTTTTTTCATAAAAGTTGGAGATTGATTTCAGCGTAATTTTGAGGTTATAAGGGATCCAATGATTTAAAAACCCACCCACCTACACTAATCATAATGAAGATAAGTTATCCTTTACGAAAACTAGAATACATCGTTTATTTTAACGGTGATTACAGAATCACCCCAATAGGAGCTGTGTGCTTTACATATTCGCCCTAGTTGGGGTGAATCTGTAAAAGTCGCGGACGGTTCTGTAAATTCTAAAGATGATCGTTATTGCGAAGGTATTTTTTTGAAGATTTTTCACAAGTAGATAGGTAAGAGACTCAATTATATGACTACACAAACCACGCACAAAAATCTTCAACAAGCTATTAATGATTCAACAACAGTTCTTTGATAAATACTGAAGAGCTTGACAAAATTTTACATAATCGCCCCATATCACTCTATCGTTATACGTGAAATGTTCTATTTTAAAGGACAACGGACGATTTCTGCAAGAAAATGGCCCTATACATTTTTGAGAAGATAACGACTGGAACTAATCAGAAACCATTCGTTATTTAGTTTTTAATTTTTTTGCGCCTTAAAAGTTGATTGTAGACTACCATATGCTGAAATTTTTAATCATTTCTAACCAAAAAGTCTGTTCGATCGTATTTATTAATTTTTCTCTGCCCGTCCGACGTTCTTACCAGAATCTTATACACGAAAACATGCGTAATTAAACAGGCTTTAAAATGATATATAGCACACCTTTTCAAACTAATGCCTTCATACATATATTGGACAAATATTTGACAGGTATCTCGATTTTACTCATTGTGCAGACAAAAAAAATGATTCTACGTTTGTCAGCACACTCAGATCCGGAATACATAGAAAAATGCAGAATTGAAAGGGCTACACAATGAGCTATAACACATTGTTTCAAAAGTTTGCCTTCAGGGATGTATTCGACAAATACTTGATAGGTATCTCGATTTTACTCGTAGTGGTAAACAAAAATGATTATAGTTTCTTCCACAGATAAAGATTAGAAACCGAAAGAGATTAGGTTAATGGAGAATTGAAAGGGCTACAAAATGAACTGTAACACGTTGTTTCAAATCCTAAGTTTGCGAGACTTATGGGCAAGAGGGTGAACGGATGAAGTGATTTTGACCTATTGTAGAATAGTTAGTGAAGTATAGTGCTGTAAACAAAAGCAGAGCTAGAATGGTTATTATATAAAAAGTGCAGAATTTAACGAGCTTGAAATTTAAATTTAAAAAGTATGGCTTAAGGTATTTATATGCCAAATACTATACGAATATCATGACTTTTACTTATGTTAATATTACAAACGAAATGCGGCAAGGTTACTCGTTAATAAAATCGTAGTATTTTATGCATATAAACACGTGGACGTACACAACTGAAATAGAATGATACATCTTGCTTAAAACTATGTTATCATAGAATGTTAAACTGTATATGATATGAATATAAACATTCTTTCATGTGATGATATTTTAATAATCCCTGGAAAGAGAAAGAAATTCGCTTTCGTTCTTATTTTTGTGTCATCGCTGTTTAAGGTTCTAATAGTTGTGGAATTTGTTAAGGAGAAAAGAGAACAGAATAAGTTTAACATTCCACGATAACATACTATTAAGCAGAATGTAGCATTCTATACGAATGTACGAGCACTTTTCACGTCTATTTTGATATTTATCGAACAGACAGACGTTATGTTTATGTACCATTCGACAGAGCAAACTCTGGGCTACACAACGCTAGTAGCATTACCACATCATTTCGTACCAAGGATACAGGTACATCTTATCACAATCTTGTAAGAATTCGAAATTTTTAGGATGAACGCTACCACGATCGAGCCTAATTTTGATTTTTTTCCCATGTAACGAAAATTTCACTATCTTGACCCGAAAATTTCTTGACAATATTGTATTGAGACCATGCAAGAATCGCGAGATAAAATTGAAACGAGATCTCGAAATGAAAGCAACTGTATCCCGACATGATTATGCCAACATTCCGGCACTAGAAGACTAACGGTAAAACGATCTTACACTCAGAAACTCACAACTGCGATGACTGAATGACCTTTTGGTATATTTCTTACTTTTATGCTTTTTACTGAGATTTTCCAGATCAATCTGGTTAACTGAGTCGCCACAATGAAGAGTAGACTTTAGTTTCGGTGCATCATCTGGCATACAGATCTTTTCTATAATTCTCAAAACTCTTAATGAGATAGATAGTTTACTTTTATTACAAAAAGATAGAGTTTGATTTGATTTTTCCTCGTTCTTCCTCTCAAATTGCTGTGTACTTACTCTGAAGTTTATCTAAAGCCTTTAGCTTTTATACTATTGTAATGATAATTTAGTAAAACATAAATACATATTAAAATACGTAGAAAGTAAGAGTAAGAATGGTCTTATCGCCACGTGCGTTAAAAAAAAGAACTAACTATGTAGACAATATGCATTCTTCTTTTCTTTTTTTAATAACAAACATGTACGTTTGATATATCAACACGTCTAGTGTATAGTGTGAGTCTATATATGATTCAATTAAATGAATATGACTGATTTTGGCGATTTTTGTGGGTTTATAGACTAATGTTAAAAAGAAAAATATTAAACGACTAATATTAAAAACCAATTAAATATTTTCCATCTTATTTAAATATTAGTCCGTTCAATATTTTTCTTTATTTAAATATTTTTCTATCTGACCAAAAACTGCTTTAATATTGACACCATCGCCAGTTTTTATATTTGTTTTTTTTTTTAAAAAATAATTAAATATTTTTTTATCTTACAACAAGAAAAAATATTTATTAATTCAGATAGAAAAATATTTAAATACGATAGAAAAAGATTTAATTGATTTTTAATAATAGTCGTTTAATACTTCTTTTTAACATTTTTCGGCTTACACGATCTTTGTATCGTTTTTAAAGAAAAAATTAACCAAAATGAAAGTAAAAATATTTTAATACTATGCGCACTTGAAAGTCTGTAAAAAAATCCTGCGTCCAAACTACTAAGTCCTTGTCTACCAAAATCCTGGTTCACTTTGTTTTGACTCACCATCAAAAGTGCGATTTCCTCTGATTTTCAGCTAAAAAATTATAATTAAGTTTATACATGTATTAAAACATACGTTTTCATATATACTCTATCAACTGGTGTGTTACTTCTGATTTTGCTTCTGACAAGTTTTAAACTTGGGTTTTTAGAAATCCAGATTGTCCAGGAATCATTTGGCAAGCCGATTTTCCAAAAAACTGAGCGGCTTGTCCAAGTGTTACGGAATTACTTTTTTTCAACGTTCACGTGCCATAACTTTTCTGAGAATGATCCAAATGCAATGACGCTTTTATCAGAGGTAGACGGTACCGAGTTTTATCACGTCCGAAAATTTCGTTGAATTTGGATCATCCCATAGGGAGTTATTAAAAAAATAACGGCCGTTACGGAATTACCGAAAATGGACTTTTTTTTTCAGTGATGTCTAAGTTTTACATTTTTCTG